ACTTCTATACAACTCTTGTTCATTCTTCTCACGTCAGTCTCCATTTCTCCACGTAATGTGTTCTTTCGTCTTCCTCTCCTCCTTTGTTTAGCCTTAAGGATCTCAAATGAGGGATTGCCTCGTGACGCAGTTGGGTGCTTTCCTCAATATGTTTCCTATTCACTTCCAGTGCTTCTTCCTGATTTCTTCCTCCGCTGGGATCTGGTTTGTTCTCTCCCACAGTAGATTGTTGCTGATAGTGTGTGACCGATGAATCCGAAGTATTTTGTACAGACAACTGATAATAAACACTTGTATTTCCTGGATGATGGCTTCATTGGTTCTCCAAGATTCCTCTCTACAGAATAGAACTGTTTTGGCATTTGTATAGAAGATTCTGACTTTGGTGTTGTTTGATAGTTGTTTTGAGTTCCAAATGTTCTTCAGTTTCAAATATGCTGCAGTAAAACCTCCGCCTGGCATCCCTCTTGGCCTATTACCGGTTCAAAGCCCGAATAATGAAGGAAGGTTATTGGGTAAGCGCTAATCAGAAAAAAATAATTCAAATCATTTCACGTAATAAAATAGTCACTAGAAATAAAAGGACGTATGAATAGAACCAATTATAAACCAAGTTCATTAGAATAAATAAATACTTGTTATCTATTTTTATTGTTTCATAAAGATTACTATATAGAATAATAATGAAAATTTCACAATTCAACTAATGACCTGAACAATATTGAAATATTCCATACATTCTGATCCGTTGAAGTAAGAAGAAGAATATTTACTGAATAAAATGAATTCATTATATTACAAAGTTTGTGATAAACTTTGAACGGTATAAATTTTACATTAGTTATATTATTATACAAATGTTTTATTACACACCATATTCAATGAGGTTCAATTGATGAGATTACAGTTTATGAACAACATTTGAATAACTTTAAAATGACCTTGGAGTGTCCATCTTAAATGAAAGTTCTAGATTAGTATAGGCAATTAAGATTAGGATTTACAATTGATGGTTACGGTTAGGAGTTCAATTTAGGGTTTTCATTACGAACTAACATCAGCTAGAATATCAAAATGGTGTTCAACCAATATCCAAGACTTGCTAACTAAAATCTAATTGACTTGTCCATAAATTATCATCTTGCCATTTATTTCATAATGTAAACGTGTACTTTGAATATTTTAATGATTCTGATTAGGGGTTTTTTTCTACCAATTTTTTTATCTTTTTCAAATGTTAATATCCAAATTTTAAGAGACAAGTGAAATTGATTTTTAACTAAGAAAGATTAGTTCAGCGAAGAGTTCTCTTTTCGGTGAATCCATTTTCAAGCTGTTTAATCGCAAATATGTACACTTACTTTTACTGATAATTAACTTCTGTTAGACATGTCGACAGTGAGGTTAAATAAACAAAAGTATTGAAAAAATTCTTTTAAAAAACAAGGGAAGTTTAATAATCGTTTGATTATTAATGACTCAAGTATTCATCAAAAAATAGATAAGAAAATTACCGATGGGAAAGGATGGCTCAGCATGATAAGATAAAATGTTGAAATTGATATTAAATGTAATCGAGATCAGATGGTGGTTTGAGGTAGTCAACAGGAAACCCTGGACTCGGGTTTCGTGCTACTTGACACTCGTCAGCAAGGTGTACCTGTAATCTTGAGGGAACTGGTGCTCCTTGGCGGATCCGATCCCATGTCACTCAGCCTCACAGTCAGAGACGTTACCACTGAGCTATCCGAGCCGCGACTGACCTCCTGTAGGACTGAGATGTAATCACAATTGATTGATCACCTGGTGGTGATCAATGTCATGTGTGTCAAGTCCTTATTTAGTGCAGATCAAATGCTATCGACCATGTCGCAATGTGACCACCAGTCTAGGTGACTCGACACTGCGTGCACTATATATTAAATGTAATCAGAATGATCGTGGAAACAATATAAACCAGTTGGGGGTAAAGGATTTAAGGTGAAGCAGATGGCTGTAAAGGAACAAGAGTATGAAAAAGAGGGAAAAATTTAATACATTAGGACCATGGTAGAAGGAGAGGTTTTACCAATCTCTTTTGCACATACAATTCTGTTTTTTCCAGATGTATGTCTATTGCTTCGGCAATGCACATAAGATGCAGTCTAATTGTCTTAGGAAGACTTATACTTACCTTGTAGATAACTTTGAACGCAGAGTCTGTGTTGATTGAATGGCCTGTGTTCACAAGGTGTTCGATTATAGAACTTCTTATTGAGCCGTTGCCTCCTCTTTTTAGCCACGCCGGATGATGTTCTTGAACTCTTTTGGATAAAGTACGCATCAAACGACCTTTATACCTAGCTCCACAAGAGCAGGTAAACTGGTAAACGCACATTGAGTTGGTCAGATGCGATAATTTATCTTTCAGATTATTAAAGAACAACGATCGGCTGGAGAATACTATTCGCAATGTTGCTGCAAAGATTATTCTTTTTAAGGAATCAGAAATTCTCCTCCTTAAGATGTATGTGGTTCTGTCACCCTTGAAGTCGATGTTCATGTATAAAGTTTTCTTTTCTACTGTAATCATTTGTGTTTTCGGAGTTTTCAGTTTTATGTTCTTAACAATGAATATCGAATGATACTCGATTTTGATAAGTATCTCATTTAAGAGGTCCAATTCTTCATCTATGACTTCGGGACTACAGATTCTTCTTATTCTTGTGGCAAGTGTTATTATTAAGTTTCTTTTTCGACTGATGGGAACCCAGCTGTGGAAATTTGATAGTTGGCCATTCCACATGGGTTTCCTGTAGATAGATCTTCTTAGAGTACCATCTTGCTTTTTTTTAAAAAATCTATTCTAGTTGTAAATAATTCCTACAAGACTACCTTTCATTTGACTTAATATTACAAATTTATGAATTAAAATATGTGAATAGTGAATTAATTGTCGAATATATTATATTGTAATATACGTAACAAATAATCATGTTCAAAATGTTTTTGTTCATACCTCATGAATCAGTTATTTTGACCTATGAAATTATTTTTATGTGGATGTATCGATGTACAATTTGCATTTTTTTAACAAGGGTCAATTACATTTTGTGCTTACTGTTATTACTTTTTGAATGTTTGCTTGTTTGTTTGTGGTTGTGTATTTGATGATAGCATTTGTGTTAAATTCTTATGCCCGTCAATATATTACTTGAATAAATCGCCAATCAGAATACCGAATTGATTCCTCTCGCCTATACCTGCCCCTTGAATCCCCAACACAATCTCAGCTTCCACTGTATGATTCCAGTATTTTAGACATAGACTATATATATATATATATATATATATATATATATATATATATATATATATATATATATATATATATATATATATATATATATATATATAACAGTACATAAATAACTCCTAGTAGTTACGTACCTGGACAGTATCATCGATGAAAGAAGAGGATCTGATACAGACGAACAGTCAAGAATTGGCAAAGGAAGGGCCGCATTCGTACAGTTGAAGAATATATGCAACTCAAAACAACTGCCAACCAATATCAAAGACACAATCTTCAATATAAACGTCAAGACAGCTCTACTGTATGGAGCTGAAACCCGGCGAACTGCTACAACCATCAAACATCAAAATCGTACGAGTATTTCTAAACAGTTGTCTACCCAAGACACTCACTGGATACCATTAACAGCAGCCTACTATGGGAATGAACAAAACAGCTTATAGCTGTGGAAGAAATTAGGAAACGTCCGTAAAAGTGGATGGGACACACATTACGGAAATCATCAAACTGCATCACAAGGTAAGCCTTAACTTGGAATCGTGAAGGCAAAACGGAAACGTGGAAAGCCGAAGAACACGTTGTGTCGAGAATTAAAAGAAGACATGAAAAGGATGAATAGGAACTGGGAAGAAGTGGAAAGGATTGCTTGGAACAGAGTTGGATGGAGAGTGCTGGTGAGCTGCTCCTCCACATAGTTGTTAGTCTTTCAATACTAAAATATACATGGGCTTAAAAGGAGGAAATATTGAGCAAACACATTCTACGATAATATGTTGCTCACTTACCGAACTTTAAGCGACATATCACAAATGACTTTCATAATAAATTAAAGTTAAGTGTATAATTTTTGAAAATTTGGAGCCTGAAGCATTGTTGCACCGTATACCCATAATCAAAACATTTCAAGAAGATTAATTCATATCTTTGTTCTACTGAGATGTCATACCCTGTAAGCTCAGTCAATTGGAAATTCTACTGACGTGTAACAACGATACTGAATAACGACTACGCTCTATAATTAACTAGATAAAGCTGTTAGATATAAACCTATAAATTGTCAATAAACGACTAAATGGTCTCGTACTGATCTGGAATCCTATTGCTTTTGAGCGAACTTGACTTTAAAACAATATAATAAATAATCAGAAACTTTGAAAATACCCTTGTTCGATGCTGAAACTGTTCTACTTTCGAACCCACAGATGACCATTTATCAATCCTTCTCTGTTTCTTTTCCATTAGTAGGTTGCTTCTTATCCTGTGTAATAAATAACTATATATACATGCTAGATTCTCATGGTCAGCGCTTAGACCTTACAATATAAATGTATATATTTTTACTTAATGGTGTTACATTAGTAATATGATAATTGAATTCTTAAGCCAATTGAAGCTAGACCTGGAAGCTTTGGATGGCCGTTACTTCCCATGGAAGGATTCCTCCGCAGTGAGCCACATACGACTTCGCCCCGCAGGATTCCAGTTCAGGACTCATTAGTCTCGTGCATGAACGCTTAACATCTAGACCACTGAGTCGGTTAGTATCCAACGCTGTTAATGTCTAACTTCAACCAATTTACTAATTCGAGCCAGCGTTCACCATTAACATCAATGAATTACTATCTCACAACAGACATTGTATTAGATTAAATTTAGCAACATTATGCTTTTCCTTCTCGTTCTTTTTAAATAGTTGATAATTTACTCAAATAATAACAATGATGATGATGATAATAATAACAATAATAACAATAATAATAATAATAATAATAATAATAATAATAGTAGTAGTAGTAGTAGTAGTAGTAGTAGTAGTAGTAGTAGTAGTAGTAGTAGTAGTAGTAGTAGTAGTAGTAGTAGTAGTAGTAGTAGTAGTAGTAGTAGTAGTAGTAGTAGTAGTAGTAGTAGTAGTAGTAGTAGTAGTAGTAGTAGTAGTAGTAGTAGTAGTAGTAGTAGTAGTAGTAGTAGTAGTAGTAGTAGTAGTAGTAGTAGTAGTAGTAGTAGTAGTAGTAGTAGTAGTAGTAGTAGTAGTAGTAGTAGTAGTAGTAGTAGTAGTAGTAGTAGTAGTAGTAGTAGTAGTAGTAGTAGTAGTAGTAGTAGTAGTAGTAGTAGTAGTAGTAGTAGTAGTAGTAGTAGTAGTAGTAGTAGTAGTAGTAGTAGTTAGTATCATCTTAAAATCTTGACTCGTTGCAGTGAAAACATCAATAAACGGGTATAAACAAATTAACAGATAAACATTATCATATTTTAAAAGTTAATTTTGAATTCCTCTTTATAGATTTGTTTATTTAAACTTTGTTTACATCATAATAACAACATTGAACAGAAAATTTATAAACAGCTGTTTATAGATAATATTTTAACGATATATATTAGTTCCTTTCTGAACTGTAAATAACAAATACAGGAAATGGTCTTATACGAGCATATAGAAATGTAATATGTACACACACACACACACACACACACACACCAAACCCATATACAGATGAATTATATGAATCTCTTGGAAAAGCATTATATCGGTTTAGTTTTATAAAACAAATAATAATAGTAATAATAATAATAATAATAATAATAATAATCATCATCATCATATTAAGTAGTATAGAACTGTCTCCTTTAACTTATGTAATCAGTTGTTTTATACAGTAGCTATATCTCTGGTTTATTTATTATGTCATTTTATTTCATATGTTTATTATCGTCTATTTACTTGAATGGAAGTGAACAATTTCAAATTGTTTCTATATTAGTACAGAAAAACAAAACTAATGGGAAGTTTAAAAAAATATTTTGAATGGTGTATTTACATGGTACCTTTTTAAATAAATAAATAAATAAATACATAATATAACGAGGTCAAGGTTTGTTTTTATTATCAGAAGCGTTTTTGTGGAGATTGTAGTCATTTCAGTAGTTGAGATTCTTAATTAATTGAATCTACACCATCATGGAAAACCTGGAAGCACTAGACGGCCGTTTCGTCCTATTGTGGGACTCCTCAATAGTGCGCATCCACGACCCCACCTCGCGGGGTTCGAACCCACGCGAGACTGATAGGTCCTGGGTTTTCCATAGTGGTCTAGCCTCAGTTGACTCATGATCTCAACTGTTTGTTTTTATTTCAAAATTTCATGATAAACAATCTTAAAATAATATAAACGAAGTTGATCAATATTGAATTTATAGAAGTCTACGATAATTGATGACAATAACGAAATAGAATAAACAATCAGTTGTTGATTTTAAAAAAAATAATTCTTATTTCGATCAAAGATTTTTTTTAAAAATTGACTCTTGGTTTGATCCACAAAAATGAACATGGATATGTACTATCAAGGAGTCTTATATTAGGATGAAAATATGTTTCCGTTATATAGTTATTCGTTTCTGAAAATTAAGTATACAACTAGAGTGTTCCATTGTAATCAATACGATTTACCAATAGTTATTCACTGGTGTAAATAATGTAAATACGATTGTACAGTTTCAAAAACTGATATCAACAAGAAGGAAATATTCCTCAATGAAAGGTCATCATCCTTCTCACTGATGTAATGTTTCGTCACCATTCAATTGGTAATATGAGCATATTAATTAAAGTGTTGAGTAAAAAGGTTATCATTTAGAAGAGATCTAGTCCAAATAAATCACAATTGTTTTCAACCAACTTTACTAGCTTACTTACTTAACTTTGTTACCCCTCATGGAGGACCATAGGCCTCCCACCAACATTCTACATCCAACTCTGTTCCAAGCGATCCTTTCCACTTCTTCCCAGTTCCTATTCAACCTTTTAATGTCTGCTTTCAATTTTCAACACACTGTGTTCTTTGGCCTTCCACTTTTCCGTTTCCCTTCACGATTCCAAATTAAGACTTGTCTCGTGATTTCCGTAATATATGTCCTATCTAATTCCAACATCTAATTTCCTCTTCAACCGGAAGCTTTTCAACCAATTTAGTGAAACAAAAGCAATCATAAATATGTCGTTTGAAACTATGTTTTCAGAGTGATTTATTAATTCAACAAAATATATATTCATACCATTTTGTGATCGATAAATTTATTTACCAGTTTACAGGTTTATTCAAAAGTAATTACACCGGAAAGAGAGAAAGGAGTTTGCTTGTTATCATTTTGAAGCACATTCTACAAAAATTAAGACTAAAAAGTCAGTATGTTTACCACAGTATAACTGATGGTCATCTGATTGGTAGCGGTAAGTATGATGATATTTGAAAATCATTTAAAATAATAAATACACAATCAACTTTGAATTTACCTGGCTACATCTAAACCAAACGTATTAAAAAGCTGAAACTTGTATTCAAAAAGATAGCTGTAAATTTCCATATACCCTGGTAACTTTTATTTTTTGTGATTCAATTACGTTATATCTTATTTTGTTTTCTCAATAACAAATCCTTTTCCTTCCTTTTCAAGTCATTTTTCTACGTTCACTCATCTGATTTTTTGGCTATCATTATGTAACTTTGAACTCAATTTTCATCTTTGAGTGTTTTAAAAATTTTCCTCTTCAATTTCCATATTTAGTAACATAGATATTCATCTACTTTGCTAATTTATAATTCTTTCGTATGATAGAAAATGTACTTATCGGTTGTAAATAATTAGTATCATTGTAAAACAAGAGATTATCGTTATTAAGAGAAGTTGCCGAGTATTTACATAATACATATTAAATAGCCTTCGATCATTCATTTGCATTTTTCGGTATGCACTGCACTTTTAACTATCTTCTCAATTAGCCTTCAAATGTTCTGCCAATGTAGTACTTTTGATGCATTGAAACACTTCACTCTATCTGACAATTGTTGCAACTTCGATGGCGCACTCCGCTACAAAGAACTTTGTGAGTAGCGTTCACTATACCGTTGTTTATAGATTGTAAGCGATTAATGATAAACCACGACATCAATGAATTCATTTCATGTTGCTACACTTTTCTGTTCTTGTATAAATCAAATATAAATTTATCATACTTTCACTTATAAAAAATGTTACTAAGGCGTAGATTTTGATTATTTTTTTCTTCAGAAATTTCTTCTTTTATTTAAAACATCCCCATGACTTGTTGGATTATATACGAATGAACGATAAAACTGATACATCCTTTTTTATTGGTATAATTACTTTGTTATTAAAACTACAAGGTGTCATATTACAATATAATGTCATAATGAATAAAGCAAATGTATTCCATTCAAATAAACATTCAAATCAAAAATAATATTAATATGAGTGATACTAAACATTATGAGGTAGTAAGGGAAAAGAAAATCAAATCTATGAATAGTTTAATAGAAAGTTCAAATTCTTAGTTGAATAGTACCAAACAAAAATGAAGGAAAATTAATTTGTTTGCTTAGTAGGTTAGAAAAAAAAACAGTTCATTTATGATTAGTGTAAGACAAACAGTAAGTAAGCAACTAACATAATGAACAATTATCGTTTACTTCATTTTAATCAGTAGAAATTTCTTATGGTTAGATATATTCAGTTAATTTTAACAGTTGGGATCATGAGTCAATTGAAGCTATACCATCATGGAAAACATGGAAGCACTAGATGGCCGTTTCACCCTAATGTGGGACTCCTCAGCAGTGCACATCCACGGTTCCGCCTCGTGAGATTCCAGACCAGAACCTATCGGTCTCACACGTGAACGTTTAACCTCTAAACCACTGAATCGGCGTTATTGTCTAACTTCAATGAATCCACGAAATTGAACGACACATCGATCATTGTCTTCAGTGAGTTACTATCACACAACAGACCCGGTTGAATTTCACTGGTAACTGCTTCTCACTAGAACTCCAGGAAATAAAAAAAATTAATCATTCATGAAAATCTCTGTGTAAAAATACTTTACCGCATTAGTTGTCATTTAAATATGAAATATGGTTAATAGTGGAATTCAAGACGAAAACTTCATCTTGTTCTCGAACTAATCAAATAGATATAACTTCATCTCAGAGTTGATGATATCTACTTCTATAATTTGAACACAATATCTTTTACTTCAAATATCAATGTGTTATCCACTTAGTTACTATTTTCAGATAATCGTTCACTTATATAATCGTTATGAATTTTAATTTAGTTCTTAATAATTTCAATTATTTCCTTATTAATATTTTCAATTAAAATTTTGATTAGTCTACGTTGATATTTGCATAATCTGAGTAGATTATAAATTCAATACATTGAATAGCTTATTGTTTAAATAAATACCATAATATACTAGAATAACTTTTGATATACATATAAATAAGAGTTTCATATTTGACCATTCATCTATTTTTCTATTTTATTTCAAGCTTAATAAAATTTCTTCAACGCAATGGGTTGTTCACAACATTTTAATCGTTTAAAGATCCCCGTCATAGACGATTAAAATGTTGTGAACAACCCATTGCGTTGAAGGTGCTCAATGAGTTCCTGAAGTATAACGTAAAGTTCACTGAAAAGAAAATTTCTTCAGTTATGTCCCCAAAACCAACCCCCCCCTTATTTGGTCTTAATTATGAGGTGGACACTCAAGATTACTTTAGAGTCATTCAAAAGTCGTCCATACATTTTAGTCTCACCTGAGAATCATTTGAAGAATTTCAGAATTATTTGATTATATGTAAAAATTATATATTTGAAATAATCTCAGAGATTAAAATTTAAAACAATTCCAATGTTTTGTCTAACAAACTTGTTTGGACTTCTTCAGGGTAATAATCAGAATCAAAATCATCAAAGAAATATATATGGTGTAACAATTAAATCGAATCTATACTGTGCTAATCCAATTATGTTTGGATGTTGGTTTTTAGTAAATAGGATAACATGAGTCAGTTAAATGTGAAACATGTGAAAAGTGGTGGAGAAGATTTGTAGCTCAGGTGGATGATTTTGATGGAGTTTTGTTCTCTGAGCTGGATGGTTTGGTCGTGGAGCTTTCATCGTTCTTCTGAACGACATCATCAGCACAAACATGTGAAAAGTCCACGATGTGCCAAATAAATGACTGGACGATTTGTGTGTGTGTGTATGCGTATGTATGGGTAAGATTATGTTATTAATGATTGATATTCGATATTATTATGTTTTATATGAAGGAATAAATAAATGTGCAAGTTAAAGGTTGAAAAT